CACTCCTATTTGTTACTTTTTTCCAAAATTCATTGGAGAGACTGGATTCATTTCATTTCACATATATAATTAGACAACTTGTCATTGTTTTTAAAAAATACACTGCTTGAGTTCCCTACAGAGTTCAAGACATGAAGAAGAAACCCAACAGCCACCTGTGCAACTCAGGGCTAAATTGCTACACTAGTGACGGAGGCAGAGCTTGGAAATCTTCAGACAAAAAATAAAGTCTCAATTACCAATTTAATCATCTTTGTCTCCATCCCTGGGAAAGAAGCTTAAAAAACCAGCAAACAAGCAAAACTAACTGAGATTTGGATAAGATGACATGGAGTCTGCAGATCAATTTAAGAGAACTGGCATCTCAGCCACATTGTTTTCCATTCCATGAACATCGCATGCCTCCCTCACTGAAGCAATCTCTCCTCCTCGGCACTCAGTTTCAGAATTCAGTGTAGATGCTTTTCAAGTGTTTTGTTAATACTATTAATTTCTCATGCGTTCATGCTTTTATATGCTAATTCTTTGTTTCTGTCTCTCAGTCATTCCCAGATCTTGGGGTGGTCACTGAACTGTCTTGTGACTAAGGTTCACTTTTACATATTTATGTACTTAGTAATTTTTGACTAGACATGTGAATTTTTGTTGATTTACACTGTGTTGTCTCTACTTCTTTAAAGTTCTTGTCAGTGTGATCCTAGAATATATGTTTAGAGCTATATATCTTTAATACTACAGGCCGACCCATTCTCGACCGAATGCCTGTGTCATCAGTGAAGACACTCCGGCTAGTTGGAACTTGAACGTAAGCCAGATCTGTGAACTCTGGGAATTGTTTAGTTTCTAATTTCCCAGTTTTTCTTACCCAGCTTTGTGGAATTCATCCTAAAGATATTTGGCTCATCACTCAGGCCACATATTTAGCTGATCTTGATGCAGGTCAGCTAAATTTTAAACAACTATTTACAGGTGCTTTTTACCTTTGCAGTACTCTACTTTGAAAACTCCAGTGTTTTAGACTCCTTAACTCTGACAAAAGTCTCACTAATTTATTGAAATTGTCGTTTTATTGCACACCACTTTCTGTGTCATGGCCAACATTGGCTTTCAGCAGAACTCTGAGATGAGCACAGCATTCAAATATCTCATGTGTTTTGCTTTGGGTTTTCTTTTAGTTTTTTCTTGCTTTTTTCTAGATTCCTAAACCAGGTACTCTGTACAGCTTTGTCAGTAAGTTTTGTTTTGGTTTTTTGGGTTTTTTTTACAGTAAGTTGGTGTCAGTTACTCTACATGACGTGGAGTGAAAGTCCATTAATGAGCATTTTGTTGGTTTTACTAATTTTTGGCCATATGTTTATTTGTATGATGGATGGAGAATCTGTAAGGCTATTCATTCAGCTGTAGGCACCTAGCACTGCTTCTTGGCTGAGATTATCGATCCCTCCCCACCCCACACCCTAAACTCCATCAAGAAAGAGTCCAGCTATAGGACTTTTAAAACAGTGCTGGGGTTTCCAGGCAGACCCAGAGAAGAAACGTAACGAATACAGCTTATTTTCTCCCATATGTTTAAAAATTTATACAGAGCAGGAGAGCCATGTCTAAAGTCATTAAACATTTAAATGTTTCAGGGATTACATTGAATTACAAATATAAATCACCGACATTATTGTGTATTATAGTAAATTTTATTGTTTTCTAAGAGAAAATGTATCTCGGAGTTTAATTCAATTTACAAAGGAAAATTATCCATCGGTATTAAAGCATAATATTAACACATTTTTTATATCCTTTCTAGCATCTTTTTGTTTGTATGCAGATCTGGGCAGGCATTTACTCCATTCCTAAGTGTGCAAACATGTACTGTGTTTGTTTCTATGACATTCTTGATACTTCTAATTGAACCCTAATCCCAGTAATAGCTGAGGTACTTTTTACTTTGAAGGTACCTGTTTCTGGTTTAAAGCTTAGTCTTTTTCAGGCAAATAATTAGTATATATGCTTTTTTGGGACTCTCATTTTTCTGTCTCCTCCTCTGTTCTCCAGGGATTAATCTGACCTGTGGTGTTAGGGAAGGTGGAAAGGTTAGAGGTAACAAGAAGGAAATGTATTACTAGGGGTGGAAAGGAGGCCATCCTAGAGAAGTTGGTGACTGCATTGCTAGGCTGCCCACCCCAGACACTTTGTCTCCAATATATGAGCCATTTAATGTGCCCTTGTCAGCTTGCCTATCCTACCAACAGATATAGTTATGTCTGTCACTTTATGCTATGGGATCTCAATAAATGTTAATTTACTGCCTTTTATAGCATCAAACCTTTTAGATTCTTCTATGCATAATGCTGACAGTTCACTCAGCAGTGCTGTGACTGAAACCAAATTTTCCCCTCCTAAGCATTTCAGAACAATGTCAGGTGCCCCCCTGTGGTGTTTCAGGGACTTGCAGACTGATACTTTTTCCCTCTGACATCTGTATTTCTTTGTTTATAAAGTTGATTTTCTCTTTTCAATACAGACAGCTTACCTATTTAAAAAGTAAATTATTTTAATGTCTGTTGCTAAATGATTTTATATGTAACAAAACCTAGCAGTTTATTTTAAGTGTCAGTGTATTCAATTTTAGTAAACTTCTTTCCAGTCAAGATTTGCTCTAAACTAATTCTGGGCTTTTATCTATAGGTCAGCACAATTTGATGGGAAAATACTATAGATTTGAGGATACTGAATGATACGCTCAATGTAGTGTGATGCTGTTTGCTCTAAGTTATGGTACTCAACTTTAAAGGCTCTGTGTGAAATAATGAATTTAAATATATAGCAAAGATATATTGACTTTAATTGAAGAGAAATTAGGACTGAAGACTATAAGGAGTTTCTTATATTGCCCATTTTTTCATTTTTTCACTTCTTACAATAGACAAGAGACAATTTTGAATTTTGACACTAAAATTTCACAGGTATAGCCATTCCCTTCAAGTTCATAGATTGTCTACCTACTAAAAAAAGATAATGCACTTGAGTGAGCTATGCATATAAGACAGAAATCAAGGACAAAGAAAATGAGGAAAGTGAGGTCCGAGTATCTAAACTGTATTTCTCAACTGGTGACTGATTCTGCGTGATTACTCTCAATCACTAAAGCATCATTTTATGCTGCTGACAGAGCCAGACACCACTGGCCACCCATGATAACCACCTTCAGCACCCATGGATTAGTTAATGTACAATTTTATGTGTGAACAGTTGTACTTTCTAGAAATCAATATTATAAAACAATAAAACCTGAGACTTGAACTCCTTTTCAAACTCATTATGCTATTTTTCTCTGATCTCTTCTTTCTTTGACATTCACAAACGTGCTTTTAAAGAAGAATGTGCTGTGCTTTTTTACGGTGGCACTGAAAGCAGTAATTTTGGGTACAAAGTATTTTTCCTCAGTAATTTTGGGTTTTTTTAGTATTTTTTTTCTTTTGGGGGGGCACTTTTTGAGACAGGGTATCCCAGTAGCCCCAGCTGTCCTGGAACTCACTATGTAGACCAGGCTGGCCTTGAACTCACAGAGATCCGCCTGCCTCTGCCTCCCAAGTGCTGGGATTAAAGGCATGCGCTACCATGCCCGGCTATTATGTTTATTTTATTTTATGTGTATGTGTATTGCCTGCATGTGTGTAAGTGCACCTGTGTCATGCAGTGCCTATGGATGTGAGAAGAGGGCATCGGATTCTTGGAACTGGAGTTACAGACTATTGTTAGCTACCATATGGGTGCTGGGAATTGAACCAGGTCCTCTGCAAGAGCAGCCAGTGCTTTTAACCACTGAGCCATCTCTCCAGCTCATTTTGGTTTTGAGACAGGGTTGTATGTAGCCCATGTTGGTCTTGAACTCACTATGTAGCTGTGATTGGCTTTGAATTCCTTATCTACCTGCCTCTGCCTCTCTAGTGCGAGAAATATAGGCATGTGCCACCATACCCAGTTTCAGTAAAAATCTTAAGCCACTGATTCAGATTTAAATCATTAGTGTTTATCCTCTCACTAAGCAACCAAAGCAAGACAGACAGCTGCAAGGTCAGACGTTTCTATTGTGTGTTTTGAATTTTACACCTGTTGTGGTAACTTTCAAGAGCCTATTTTTCTATTGCAACATTAGTAGCATCGTGTTCTTCAGAGAAGAATACCTACAAATTATATTATATTGTTAGCTGGAATTCTAAGACTCTGGATAAACCTTCTGAGGCAAAATTGCTTAAAAGAAATATCTATTTGCAGGATTCCCATGCTCTAGTGGAGGGGCCCACACCCATGTATGTATAGGCTTTGAGTGGATTTAATGGGTTATAAAAAAGAAAGAAAAGGGATATGAAGTTGGAAGAGGGTAGGTGGGGGGAACATGGCACATTTCAGAGGGGAGAGATGGGAGATATATATGATCATATTTCATTGTTGACATGTATGAAATTCTCAAGACTAAAGAAAAATTGAAAAAAAGAATTCCTTTCAAAGTAAAACAAAACCAATCCAGCAGCAGCAAAAATTGATGAATGTGGGGGTTAGAGAGATGGCTCAGTGGTTAAGAGCACTGGCTGCTCTTGAAGAGGACCTGGATTTGGTTCCCAGCATCCAAATGGGGGCTAACAATCATCTATAACTTTAGTTCCAGGGGATCTGGCCTCTTTGGGCACTGCACATACATGGTGCACAGACATATATACAGGCAAACACTCATACAAATAAAAATAAATATAAAATAATAAAAATAAATTTTTAAAATTTGATGAATGCATGGCTTCTTTCAACTAAAAGAAGATAAATCATTCTTTAGAATGCCTTTCATTTAGTATGTATTTCTAGTAAGCACTAATGAGTTCATAAATGCTTTTACGGTATTTTTTTTGTATGTAAAAATGAATGTGCATGAAGTCTGTTTCAGAATTCTGAAGATTAAAGAAGTTATATAATGCTTATCTTTTCTGAATGTAATGGCAATTGTTTAATTTCAGGACATGGCCTTTCATTATCAAAAGCCCTAAGCAGTATAAAAACCTTTCTTTCATGGATGCAATGAACAAGTTTAAATGGACTAAGAAAGAAGGGCTCTCCTTCAATAAGCTTGTGCTTAGCCTGCCTGTGAACGTGAGATGCTCCAAGACAGACAATGCGGAGTGGTCGGTAAGCCCACCTTGCTTCATCCTCTGAGAGCTTCCATGTCACATTTTATAGGAATCCAAAAGTGGAAATTCTAAAGTTCATTCGGACATCCATAAACCCTGTGGTGCACTTGTCCTTTGATAAGGCTGATAATTTATTTGTTCAGTGATTATTTGGGCTGACAGTGAACCCTCTGATTCCTGAAAACTCCCTTCCAAGAGGGAAATTTATTCTAAAACTCTACTTGTGATGAAGTGGAACTAGGACAGGAAGGCTACAGAAAGGACAGGATTTGATTTGTGATTTTTCCCAGATTCCAAGAGGGAAATTTATTCTAAAACTCTACTTGTGATGAAGTGGAATTAGGACAGGAAGGCTACAGAAAGGACAGGATTTGATTTGTGATTTTTCCCAGGAGTGCCTAGCCTTCTTCCTTCCCTCATACCCAGGGTCTGTTTCTGCCTTACCTGATGCTTGGCTTCCTCAGCAAGCATCATCTGCCCCCTTATCCC